TAGTACTATTTGTAGTACAGTGTGTAGTACTATGTGTAGTACTGTGTAGTACTGTGTGTAGTACTGTGTAGTACTATGTGTAGTACTGTGTAGTACTGTGTGTAGTACTGTTTGTAGTACAGTGTGTAGTACTATGTGTAGTACTGTGTAGTACTGTGTAGTACTGTGTGTAGTACTATGTGTAGTACAGTGTAGTACTGTGTGTAGTACTATGTGTAGTACAGTGTAGTACTGTGTGTAGTACGTGTAGTACTGTGTGTGTGTGTGTAGTACTAGTACTTGTGTGTAGTACTGTGTAGTACTATGTGTAGTACTGTGTAGTACTGTGTGTAGTACTGTTTGTAGTACAGTGTGTAGTACTGTGTGTAGTACTGTGTAGTACTGTGTAGTACTGTGTGTAGTACTATGTGTAGTACAGTGTAGTACTGTGTGTAGTACAGTGTAGTACTATGTGTAGTACTGTGTAGTATGTGTAGTACTGTGTAGTACTGTGTGTAGTATTGTGTAGTACTGTGTGTAGTACTGTGTAGTACTGTGTGTAGTAGTACTGTGTAGTACTGTGTGTAGTATTGTGTAGTACTGTGTGTAGTACTGTGTAGTACTGTGTAGTACTGTGTGTAGTACTGTGTGTAGTACGTGTAGTACTATTGTGTAGTACTACGTATGTGTTAGTACTGTGTAGTAGTTGTGTGTAGTACTGTGTGTAGTATTGTGTAGTACTGTACTGTGTAGTATGTGTGTAGTACAGTGTAGTACGTGTGTAGTATTGTGTAGTACTGTGTGTAGTACTGTGTAGTACTGTGTAGTACTGTGTGTAGTATGTGTGTTAGTACGTGTAGTATGTAGTACTAGTTGTGTAGTACTGTTGTGTAGTACAGTGTAGTACTGTGTGTAGTATTGTGTGTAGTACTAGTATGTAGTACTGTGTAGTACTGTGTGTAGTATTGTGTGTAGTACTGTGTGTAGTACTGTGTAGTACTGTGTGTAGTACTGTGTAGTACTGTGTAGTACTGTGTGTAGTACTGTAGTGTGTAGTATGTGTAGTACTGGTAGTATTGTGTAGTACTGTGTAGTACTGTGTGTAGTACTGTGTAGTACTGTGTGTTGTGTAGTACAGTGTAGTACTATGTGTAGTACTGTGTAGTACTGTGTAGTACTGTGTGTAGTATTGTGTAGGACTATATTGTAGTACTGTGTGTAGTACTGTGTAGTACAGTGTAGTACTGTGTGTAGTATTGTGTAGTACTGTGTGTAGTACTGTGTAGTACAGTGTAGTACTGTGTGTAGTATTGTGTAGTACTATATGTAGTACTGTGTAGTACTGTGTAGTACTGTGTAGTACTGTGTGTAGTATTGTGTAGTACAGTGTAGTATGTAGTACTGTGTGTACTGTGTAGTACAGTGTAGTACAGTGTGTACTTTGTAGTACTTGTAGTTGTAGTACTGTGTGTAGTATGTGGTAGTACAGTGTAGTACTGTGTAGTATTGTGTAGTTGTGGTGTATATGGTGAATTGTGTAGTACTGTGTGTAGTGTAGTACTGTGTAGTATTGTGTAGTACTGTTGTGTAGTACTGTGTGTAGTACAGTGTAGTAGTAGTGTGTGTAGTATTGTGTAGTACTGTGTGTAGTATTGTGTAGTAGTACTGTGTGTAGTACTGTGTAGTAAGTGTAGTACTGTGTGTATTGTGTAGTACTGTGTGTAGTACTGTGTAGTACAGTGTAGTACTGTGTGTAGTATTGTGTAGTACTATATGTAGTACTGTGTAGTACAGTGTAGTACTGTGTGTAGTATTGTGTAGTACTATATGTAGTACTGTGTAGTACCGTGTAGTACAGTGTAGTGCTGTGTGTAGTATGTAGTACTGTGTAGTACTGTGTAGTATAGTTTTGTAGTATTGTGTAGTACTAGTACTGTGTAGTACTGTGTAGTACTGTGTAGTTCAGTGTAGTACTGTGTGTAGTATTGTGTAGTACTGTGTGTAGTACTGTGTAGTACAGTGTAGTACTGTGTGTAGTATTGTGTAGTACTATATGTAGTACTGTGTAGTACTGTGTAGTACAGTGTAGTACTGTGTGTAGTATTGTGTAGTACTATATGTAGTACTGTGTAGTAAGTGTAGTACTGTGTGTAGTATTGTGTAGTACTATATGTAGTACTGTGTAGTATCGTGTAGTACAGTGTAGTGCTGTGTGTAGTGTTGTGTAGTACTGTGTGTAGTGTGTGTAGTACTGTGTAGTACTGTGTAGTACTGTGTAGTAAGTATGTGTGTATAGTGTGTTTTGTAGTACTGTAGTACTGTGTAGTACTGTGTAGTACAGTGTAGTACTGTACTGTGTAGTACTGTGGTGTAGTACTGTGTAGTACTGTGTGTAGTAGTGTAGTACTGTGTGTAGTATTAGTATGTAGTACTGTGTGTGTAGTATTGTGTAGTATTTTGTAGTACTGTGTGTAGTACTGTGTAGTACGAGTGTAGTACTGTGTAGTACTTGTAGTATTGTATACTGTGTAGTACTGTAAGTACTATATGTAGTACTGTGTAGTACTGTGTGTACTGTGTACTGTGTGTAGTACTGTGTATATGTAGTACTGTAGTACTGTGTAGTACTATATGTAGTAGTACTGTGTAGTACTGTGTAGTACTATATGTAGTACTATAATGTAGTACTGTGTAGTACTGTGTAGTACTATGTTGTAGTACTATATGTAGTACTAGTGGTAGTACTATATGTAGTACTATATGTAGTACTGTGTAGTACTATATGTAGTACTGTGTAGTACTGTGTAGTACTATATGTAGTACTATATGTAGTACTGTGTAGTACTATATGTAGTACTATATGTAGTACTGTGTAGTACTGTGTAGTACTATATGTAGTACTAATGTAAGTACTGTGTGTACTATATGTAGTATATATGTAGTACTATATGTAGTACTGTGTAGTACTATATGTAGTACTATATGTAGTACTGTGTAGTACTGTGTAGTACTTGGTGGATGAGAGTTTAAGTGTGATTAGAGGAGAGATAAAACTCAGTGGAAACACAGACGTCCCCATTGTCCATTAGACACAGGAAGACAGGACCAGGAGAGAGAGAGAGAGAGAAAGAGAGAGAGAGAGAGAAGAGAGAGGGAGAGAGAGAGAGAGAGATGGAGAGAGAGAGAGAGAGAGAGAGAGAGAGAGAGAGAGAGAGAGAGAGAGAGAGAGAGAGAGAGAGAGAGAGAGAGAGAGAGAGATAGAGAGAGAGAGAGAGATGAGAGAGAGATGGAGAGAGAGAGAGAGAGAGAGAGAGAGAGAGAGAGAGAGAGAGAGAGAGATGAGAGAGAGAGAGAGAGAGAGAGATGGAGAGAGAGAGAGAGAGAGAGAGAGAGATGGAGAGAGAGAGAGAGAGAGAGAGAGAGAGAGAGAGATGGAGAGATGGAGAGAGAGAGAGAGAGAGAGAGAGAGAGAGAGAGAGAGAGA